GGGACCTCAGACCTGGGCTCCCCGGGCACCCCGGGCACGGGCGGCCGGCGCAGCTCTCTGCAGACTGCCCTCTCCCCTGCCAGCGAACCCACGTTTCTGAAGTTTGGGGTGAACGCCATCCTCTCCTCGACGCCCAGAACAGGTAAGTGAAGGCAGAACGCGGAGGGCCCCTTCAGGTGCTTTCCGGACCGAGTTTCCTTTGCAGAGCAAGTACCCGCGCGCGCATCTGTGCACACCGGCGCGCAGGAACCCCGAAACCCCGCGCCGGGCAGGGGGAGCCCGAGGTCCACGCAGGAAGAGCGGGCTTGGCTGCCCCACCCCCAGAATGAACTCGAGCCCCGCGGCCCAGCGCACGCCTGGCGCCTGCCTTTCTGCTCTCCGACTTCTAGCTGTTTTCCTGTCCGAGAGGAGGCATTTGCTGAATTATCTAGCGCCTGGCTCTGCCAGCTTCCTTCTACTCACTCCGGCCCCCGGTCTCCGCCGTGGCCAGGACGGAGGGGGAGAGGGGGCGGCGCTGAGGGCCGCTGGGGGGAGGAGCGTTCGGGGACGAGCCTGCCTCAGGAAGATTCCGTTTACTCCGCCAGCGCGTTGGAGAACGGTGCCCACGGAACCAGCCCCAGAGTCGGCCGGGTCGTGCGCTCAGTGTGCTGCGCGCTAATCCAGTCCGTAATCAAAGTCTCCGTCTTCCTCCCCGCTCCTAGAAACCTCCCCCGCCCTACTCCCGAGCCTGCCTCCCAAGACGTTCGCCTTTCCCTACTTCGAAGGCTCCTTCCAGCCCTTCCTCAGGTCCTCGTATTTCCCAGGTAGGTCCTCTCCGTGTCCGGGGGAGGCTGCCCCGCCGCTCCCCGCCCGGAGCCGTATTTCTCCGTCCACCCCTCGGGGTTACGCTCTGGTTCAGAGGTTGCGAGGCGTACAACATTCACGAATCCGTCGCGCCAATTTGATGCCCTATTTAGCACAAGCACTGACTGCTTGACACTTTGCACCAATTCCCTGCTCTACAAATTAGCCAGAATTGTCATGGTCCCAATTTGAGGCGGTCCCCTTCCCGGCGAGGAGCTGTTGGCATCCCTTCACGCCACCGTTTTCCCACAGAGCCGGTGCGCCGGGCCACGATTCCTCACAAAGGTTTCAGCACCATGACCAATCGGTCAGCTCCTCCGGGCTGCCACACACAGACCGGCCCTCGCCCCTCCACGCCGCCCGCCGGAGACACCTACCAGCCGGGGCTAATTTCTCTTTAGGACTCATTCAGGAATGGGGCTTTTCACAAGACCACATGGGGTGCCCTCTTGTGTGGGGTGCCAGGGGTCGCCCGGAGGAGGAGGAGGAGGCCTAGATCTTCCCCTCACCCCCACTTTCAACTTCCAACCCGATTTCCCAATCCCGTCTCGTGCCCCCCCACCTTGCCGTATCTTTTTAAAGAGCCTGGGTTTGCAAACTAAGAAGCACCTGGAGAGGGTCCCTGTCAAGGTGGGGGTGTGTGAGGGGGGAGAGAAACACCTTACACAGTGTGCACCAGGTTTTCATCCTGGGCTATCACTGGATCAGAAACCCTACAGCTGGTCGAAACTCCCAGGGAGAAGGGGGGGACCCTACAGAGAGAGAGGCCGGCTCGGTCTGGGTGGGTAGCGCCCAGGCTGCACTCCCAGATATCAGCAAAAGAAACCTTGGTTGATTTTTTAAACGGGGAGAGAGAATTCACCCCCCCACACACCGTTCACGCTCCTGCTGATGAAGGAATGTGCTCCTTTTCTCCCTATCCCAGCGCACTAACAAAAACAACCCCAGCTTTATAAATAGCTTTTCATGTCCATTTAATGAGAACGATTCTGCCGGGGAAGCCGATGCCATCAGTGGTCTCCCAGTGGTCTTGGCCTGCCGTTGTGTTTAGTTTGAAAGTGTAAATCTCTTTTGTGCCAGTAATATATGGCTTTCGCTGCTTGTCCACAGTCTTTTTCTGTTAGTTCATTACTACACAATTACCATTCACGCTTCATTAGGGTCTCTGTTTCTTTTTGTTTTTCTTTTTCTCTCCCTTAAAGCGAAACTCTCCCCCTTTTTACCATGCCAATAGCCATTGGGAAGCGGTCACTGTGGTAATTAGCTGCCACTTTTCATGTATTCGGGCGGAATTCTTCCCGTTTTGTGGGGGAGGGGAGGAAAGATTAATATTAAAAAGATGAATACTGATTAGATTTTTTAAAAAAAGAATCCAAAAGCGGATTTTCCTCTCATTCTCTCTCTCTCAAATTGGCGAAGGACCCTCTGCATTGAGAGAATGCATAAGCCACCAAGGTGATCCAAGTTTGGGGTAGGGTTTCAGTTTTATTATTTCTGTTGCTATTCTATGGGGTCCACACAGGTTACTTTCCCTGATACCCTGAATGGAGAAGCTCCACAGGGGGCTGCTGGGGACTGGTTTCATGGTTTCCCTAATCCGGGTCTGCACGGTTGAAAGGCAAAGTCATTTGGGCGGAAAGCGCCTTTCACTGCTGCAGGTTGCAGGTTTGGGGGGTTCTGCAGGGGGAGAGAAAGGAGGGCTTTAAAGAGATGAAGGCGTCCGAGGAGGGGGGGAGCTCGGGACGGGGGACCCTTGTTCTCACCGGCCTCTCCGCTCGCAGCGTCCTCCAGCGTCGTGCCCATCCCAGGCACCTTCTCTTGGCCGCTGGCCGCCCGCGGGAAGCCGCGCCGCGGGATGCTGCGCCGGGCGGTGTTCTCCGACGTGCAGCGCAAGGCGCTGGAGAAGATGTTCCAGAAGCAGAAGTACATCAGCAAGCCCGACCGCAAAAAGCTGGCAGGCAAGCTGGGCCTGAAGGACTCGCAGGTGAGGGCAGGTGCTCCGCAGCTCCGGTGGGCTGCACGCCCTCCTCCGCTTCCGGGCGATCCATCGGGAGGGCTCTCGGAAACAGAGTGGGCCGCTTCCGCAGAGGGGGAAATTGCGGCCGAGTGCAGGATGCACGCTCTCGTGGGCTGGGTGTCCCAGCAGAAAGAGGGTCAGGGAGGTGGAGCGTCCAGTGGAGTGGAAGTCACTTCCGTGGATGCCGAAGGAGCCAGCGCGGCGCCCTCCCGGGCCCCAAGTCCTCCCAGGCCGCGCTCACCCGCTCCGCGCTCTTCTCTCCCGCCCCACGACCCAGGTGAAAATCTGGTTCCAGAACCGGCGCATGAAGTGGCGAAACTCCAAGGAGCGCGAGCTCCTATCCAGCGGGGGCTGCCGCGAGCAGACGCTGCCCACCAAACTCAATCCGCACCCGGACCTCAGCGACGTGGGCCA